TTTTTTTTTTCTAACTGGTCCTGTTACAAAGCATGTCTGTAATGAGAGTGGCAGTATCCGAGACGGCAGCATTTGATGGAGTGGCTGTCCGCTGCTTCTCGCTCTGTGGGACAACGGCTGCTGCAAGGAAGCGTTTCCCCACAGCCTTCCAAGTCTCTTCCTGTCTTCTGTCATGCCTTCTGCAGAAACCATTGGAACATGTTTTCTGTAATAAATAAACCACAGGAGGGTTGAGTGAAGTGTCCCCTAAATAGGGTGGTAATTTAAGATTACTTAGAAACTTCAGTTAATACAGAACACAGCTTTGTGTTTGCTTAGCCAGGCTAATTGTGGGGAGCTCATTAAACGAATGTGCTTAAACCAGCATGTTTCATGTCCTTCAAATTTCATGGGTTTCTGGATAGATCCAATTTTTCAGCTACTCCTTAGCAACTTGGGTCTTGTGTTCTTGAGAGAAGGCCTGCACCTCTGCCGTCATGTTGCAGTTCAGTTCGGTGTCAGCCTGCTTGAGCTGATCTGCCGCGGTGGGGAAGGCTGGATGCCTGGTGGGCTTGAGCTCTGCAATGTACTGCGCTCTTGGGTCAAACAGAGATCATCCAAGTTGTATTGCAGGAGCTGCCCTGAGGTAGGATGGTGGATTTTGCCTGGAAGTGATTTTAAAAGATGAGGTTTATGGCTTTGGGGAATTTGTTAGTTTGCACTGTATGTGTTTGGATTTATTGATATATTTTAAAATTAATATTTGTGCACTGACTGTATGGTTTTCAATACTTTCTCATAGAGGATTACTGAAATTAGAGATGTAGAAGACACATTGAATCATGTGATTCTTCTTACTTCAAACTTGTCATGTGAAATACATGATGTTTTCTCAGAGAGCCTTCTGTGAACCCTACTGATCATATGAAATGAAGGGGAGTGCAGAAGCCTTCACCCTGAGAATTGGTTACTGACTGAGGTCCAGCTTCTGTTGTCCTACTGATATGTGTAGTGGCTGTAGTGTAGCAAAAGTCCTAATGGAGCCAGGTGTTGCTCAGGGTTTTAAAGAATTCTACTAGAAATGAGGAGGAAACCAAGGAGAAATGCAAGGAAGTCCACATTGTGGACCCAAAACCAGGGTAGTACCTGACTGTAGCAGTGGTGTTACAGTGATTGGTACAATTTTTCTGATGAAAAAAATGTAAATTTTATTATTTTTCACAGAACAGAGTTAAATAGCTAGACATTTTTCCACTCAAAACTTTCAGTACAAAAACTTCTAGAAGACGTGAATTTACTTCAGCTTGGTTTGCATCTTTTCCTGTTATCTGTGAGTGAAAAATATCACTCAGTCTTTTTTTTTTGGTGGAAATTCCAGATTTTCAGGGAGTATTAATAGATATTTGCAGATTTTGGGAGTGGGACTCAGGCTAGAAATCAGATTTTAGAAAACAAGGTCAAGCACAGAGGAAGCTCTCTACCTATCAGAATTTCAAGTACTGATATTTGCAGCAAAAGTTTGCAGTCTGCAGACAGAATATGAGGCTTTGAAACTGTTTTTTAGGAAGTTCAGAAAGTGTAAATTTGAAAAGGATGAGCTTTTGCTAACAGTTCACAAACTGAAGGTGGAGGTAATTTTGCCGCAAATTGTTTCAGCTTCTAGGCATAACACTGAAGTTCTTCAGAAAGAAGATAAATGAATAAAATTTCACATTGAACAAATAGTAAATTAGGTGCCAGGCCACAGACCTAAAGGGTTTGTAAGAAGTGGCAAGGAAGAAGTTGGTGCTAGTCACAACTGGCTGCTAAAAGTGTTTTCAGTTCAGTACAACTGGTGGCCATCTTTGTGGCAGTGACAAGTGGTGGGCCAAAGCCAGGGATCAGTGTCAGGTTTTACATACTTCTGTTGCTTATGCAAATTATTTGGGATAAACGCTTACCACAAAAGAGGGTGTCTAAGTCCACTATTTCTGAAAACAAATATTTCCACCTCTGTTTTCACTGTTCTGAAACAAAGGGATCCATCAAAACAGTCTTGCAAAGCAGTAGTTCTCTTTGGTGTGTATGTCCTCTACAGGTAAATAAATTTTACAAATGCAAATCTAAATTTGTTGAAAGTGTATGGAAACAGAGAAGGAATATTTGGGTGTCCTGAGACAGTGAAAATGAAAGTTTGAAATTCATTTTGAAATTTTAATTTGAATTTGGGTGAAGCGTTCACAACATGTTATCCGGTATTAAGGAAAAGCAGTTCTGTTAATCAGTGCTTGATGTATTTATTGTAGGCATGTACTTATTTCTTGCCTTCCCCAGAACAAATGTTTCTCTCAGGTGTACTTAAGGTATGTTTTCCACACATCAGTTTGTTTGCAGTTGGAAATTTTTCATTTCTCTGCAATACAACCTCATTAATAGCCCCCTACTGTATAAAATAGGTATTATTTTTTAAGGTTTTCGAAAGATTTCTGCTTGTTTTTGTTACATTAGTGTATATGATCAGCATTGTCATCAGTTGTCCACCTTGCCAGTGTGCTGAGGGAGGCATTTGATACTAGCCAATGAGGAAATACCCGGTGATACAAGCATTAAACCACTTCTAGCCTTTTCGGATATTTTCAGATACATTTTTTTAAATTTGTCTTTTTTTTTTTTTTTTTTTTTTTTTTTTTAGTACATGCATCATGAATGAATCTGCCTCTAGTGGAAATGGTCAAGAGTTTGATGTATTTAGTGCTATGGACTGGAAGGATGGCATAGGTACTCTGCCAGGAAGTGACCTAAAGGTAAGATATGTAATTTTTTTAATAAGCGAAATACAAATGTTAAATGGCAAAAGAATGCATTTCACAAGTTTGTGTGTAGGTATCTGCTTTTATGAATAAAACATGAATCTGCAGCTCTGAGTTAAGAGACTGTAGCCTGTTAGCTTTTAGCTCTGGAGTTTCTTGATTCAGTTTCTGGTGCTGGCATAGACAGCTGTCATCCCCATAGGAAGGCATAAATTAGCACTGCCTCACTATACAGACAGAAGTAATCAAGTACACAGAATCCAAAAGGAATCTCAAAAGTGTGAAAATTCAGTCCATTTGGAGTATTATATTATTGTCTCACTAAGGACCTTTATACTGTCACTGACTCTCATGATCTCATATTCTTAGTTCTTTTTATTTCTAAAAATAGTTTATTTTTGCTTTGCTTCTGTCATGTGAGTACCTAGAACAATGAATAAAGTGAGTGCTTCTGAGCTTGGTATAGCTTAGAAATTTGAATGATATTGGAGTAGTACTTTTAGTTACATTTTTCACACTGGTTGTATTTACTGAGATAATTTATAACAATTTTATTTTCTTTTCAAAATAAATTTTATGTATTTTATTTACTGATATTTTTTACTATGTCCTTGGAAAGTGTCCACTGCTGTGTTTGATAAAAATATGGTTTTGATATTGGAGACTTTCTTGCACCTATTGCCTGTTAATTATAGTCAGTATTTTAATATAATTCAATTTAGACTAACATTGATGGGGTTTTCTCATAGTTTATTTTTTGAATGTAATCTCACAAATTAATTAGAAAACACGTTTTTTAAAAGAACTTTGTATACCATGGGGTGCCTGATAAAATTTTTGTTGTTGAAGTAAAAGAGTCAAAAAATGTTTGAAATTCAGGATGCAGATCTTGTGTGTTTTTGTGATGTTTGTTTGTTTGTTTTTAAATCACAGAGTCATAGAATAGACTCTCAGAATAACTTTTGTTGAAAAGGACCTCAGGAGACCACCCCTGACCATCTGAGAGCTCAGGCCAACTTGGATCAGGTTGCCCAGGACCTTGTCCAATACAGTTTTGCTTATCTCCAGGGTTGAAGATACCACAGTCTCTCTGGGCAACCTGTTCCAGCATTGGCTACCCTCATAGTGATTTTTTCCTTGTATCAGTTGGAATTTCCTCTTTTGCAGCTTGCGCTCGTGGCCTCTTGTCCTTTTACTGTGCACCCATGAGAAGAACCTGGCTCCATCGCCTCTATATTCTCCCATTAACCACTGGAAGGCAGCAGTAAAATCTCTCCTTCTGTTCTTAACACTGAGCAAAGAAGTTCTCTCAGCTTCTCTGTGCATGTGGCCTGCTGCAGCCCCTACTTTTTTTGGTGGACATCCACTGGACTCACTCCAGTATGTCATTGTCATTCTTGTGATGGATACAGTAGTCTGTGTATGGTCTCATTGGTACTGAATACAGGGGAATAGTCAGTTCCCTCCACCTGCTGGCTACCCTCTTGCTAAAAGAGCCCTGGATGCTTGTGGCCACCTTTGCTGCCAGGGCACGTTGCTGACTCATATTTGACTCAGAGGTCTTCTGTGAAACTGTTTTCAAATAGTCAGCCCTCAGGCTGTACGGGTGCATGCAGCTGTTCCATCCCAGTTGCAGGGCTTTGCATGTGCTTTTGTAGAGCTTTATGAGATCTTGTTAGCCCATTTCTTCAGCCTGTTGAGGTCTTTCTGAATAGCAAACCTGCCCTTCAGTTTATCAACTCTCCTTCCAATTTGGTAATTTGCTTTTGCTGCCTGTACACATGTAGAAGCCTTTCTTGTTGTCTTTGCTAGTTTCTTCTCTAGCTGAGCTTTGGGTTTCCTAGCGCCATCGTTGTATACTATGGCAATATCATGGTATACCTTCTCTATACAACATTTCCTCAGTTTCACCTTCTGTGTACTTCCTTTTCCATTTCAACTAAGGTAGGAGTCCCTAGTTCATTCATGTTGGCCTTCATCCACATTTGTTTAACTTCTTGCTTGTTGGCATGCATTGTTACCTCCTGGTGTGCGGTCCCTGGAGAGATATCCGGATCTCCTGGGCCCATTTACCCTTTAAAGCAGTCTCCTGTGTGATTCTGCTAAGCAGATCTCTGAACAAGCCAAAATCTGCCTCTTCTGAAGTCCACTGCTGCTATTTCAGTATTTGTTTTGCTTGTTTCTTGCAGGATTTCAGACTTCACCATCTCATGGTCACTGCTACCAAGGCTATCATCAGCCTCCACATCCCTGACCAGTTCTGTATTTTTTTTAAAAAAAGAAGTCCAGGCTTTTAAAATTCCTTTGTATTTTAATAAGCACCATTCTGTGAAAGTCAAACATAATATTGAAATGTTTGAGGAATACAAAAGGGAACAATGCAGGAAAATGTTATAATCTCATATAAATCACTGGTACGTGCTTTGTTCAGTTTTAGTTACCCCACGTCAAAAGAAACAAAACCAAAGCAAAGTTTGGGTCATTAATTAGTAGAAAAATGGGAAAGCTTCCATACAAAGCAAGGGGAGGGACTAGAAGGCGTGGCTGAGGGTAACTTCAAGAAATTGTATAAGGTTCTTAACTATGTGCTGTTCAGGAAGGCATCATTTTAAGGTTGCTCTTTTTTTAAAAAAAAATTATTTATTTTGATTTGGAAACAACCAGGTTTGTTTGTTTGACTTTTGGACGGGGGTTCTTTCTTTGGTCCAGGCATTAGGGAAGACACAGTCAGAGCTGCAATGGTAGCGTACCCAGGGTGATGAAAGATACAGAGAGAATGGACCAGGCAGCTCATTCTGGTCTTTTTTTTTTTTTTCTTTAAATACAAAAGCAAGGTGTTATTGGATGAAACTGAAGTGGAGCCATTCTAATACTGACTGAAGGAAGAATATTTTCTAACAATGCAGGATTAGCCTGAGGAGCTGTCTTGACCAGGGAGCATCAAGACTCAGTGAAAGACTAGGTGTTTATAGAGATACCAAGACAAATTGAGCTGTTAGAATAATAAGGATTTTTAAGCTTTTGAGGTAATTATAACAACTCATTTTTCAGGGCTGCTTTTAAATACTGATGGTTAAAAGGCTGACTAATCCCTTGAAACTGTAAATGTGATCTTGGAAGATATGTTATGCCCTTTGTGGAATTGTTAGAACAAGATTAATACAGATGTTTTACCTGGACTGTCCTGATAACAGAGTATTTTAATACTGTGTCCTGAACCTAAAGAAAATGCCCTCATATAGCAGTTACTTCCTGTGAGCCTGCATTTGTCTTTCAAAAGTCATAACAGACTTTTTCCACTAAAGATACTAAACAATTGCCATGTATTTACATTGAAATGTAATTCAAAAATCCAGTGAAAACACTGTGGTAGCAAGATGTGCAAAACCAAAGGTTCTATTTTTACAATTTGGGAATAGATTAGAGTGCCCGTGTTTTTTATAATAAATAATAGGCAATAGGTGAACTATTCATTGCAGACGATGTGTTGCTTACGTCTCACATTTAGTCTTCTGTTCATAAAATGTTGGGGAAAATTGTCTTTGAACACTCAGGATTGGTAAACTATATTGTATGAGCACGTTTTCAGTTAAATATATACCAAGATGTTGAAATACTGCTTTTTAATATAGAAGTTTTAGGGAGTTACCTACTTGAAGTCCTTATTTTTAGTCGTGTAAGTCCTATGGCATTTGCTTGTCTTTACTGCTTTCATGATGAAGCTTCATGCATATTTTTACATACACACTTTCAAGGAAATCTCTGTTCTTGTGTGCTATACTAATATCCACCTTCATCAGATTATCAGGCAACTATATCTGAGCAACCATTCTTAAGAACCACTTCATTTTTTGTGAATATAAGTTCGTCTATGAATAAAAGTTGCTAAAAACTATTGTAAGTAGTGTCAAATGCTTGAAACATTTACGAATAACTTTTATCAATATTTTCTTACCATTGCTTAAATTTAATTTTTCTTATGATATAGAAGAACAACTAAATCAGAAATAGGAAATTACATTATTTCTTTTTGTTACAAAGTCCAGTTTGTGCCTGCCAGACTTCATTGAGATAGGCTGCGCCGGGGAGCAGTCACTTGCCAGTCTAATCAAAACAAGGAAGCCAAGTCAGGTATCAAGCTTCTGTTCCCAGGCATGCCATGGTCTCTTACATCTACATCTGTTTCCACATCAGTAAAATGCTGAAAATCTTATTTTCCTATGATTTTGTGCAGTGTTAGTTGTTAGATTTTTGTCACCCATAGTTGGAGAAGGCTGTAGAAATGCATTCTCATACAGATTTTGTTAAAACTCTTTAGCAAAAGCAGTCATAAAATAGTTAATACTTCTTCAACACTGCTTTGAGCATGCTGTGTGACAGATCAATAGTGAGTGGTTGTGGAAAATGCTAGAATTTCAAATTATAGAGGGGATAGGGAAAATTTAAAATTCTACAGTGTAATACACCGAAGACTGAGAAGAAAAATTTTAGCATTGTATTTCAGTTCTTTCAAGATGTTTAAATAAAACAGAAAACTTGAATTCCAGTAGAGTTTAAAGTAGTTTAAAAATTACAGAATGCCTTCATGTGGCAGGCTAAGTAATGTATGCTCATCTGAAAAACGTCAGTGCTTACCAGTTAGTCTGCATGGTGTGAATGTAAATGTGAAATACTCTTTTTTTCATCTTTTTTTTTTTTTTTTTTTTTAAATCTCTGTGCTGAGTGCAGGCAGTAACACCATCACTTCAAGATCTAAATGTACTAATTAAATTGGAGAAGCTGTAATAATTTACAGTCACTTTCTACTGCAGTGACAGAAGTTTATGAAGTACTTCGTAATGAGTTTTCTAGTGCTTGTTTTTGGAAAGCGAGCTGTTATATACTGCATGGACAGAATTTTGGTCATTATTTCTAGCTTGCAAATTGTGCTTGAATGAAAAAAAAATTATGATGAAGAAATTAACCTGTAAATAAAGTTGGACAGCCAATATCAT